AAAAAACTATTTTAGTGTAAATATTTCAATGGGATTATATTCATTAGAAATCGAATCAATGCAATATTTCTTCCCAAGTTACAAAGTCGATATTTTAGGTGGTAAAAAATCAATTAAAGTAAGAGCAGCTGAAAATGAAACTGCAGTTTTACCATTACCATTAAAAATTAAAGCAGTTCACAAGATACCATATTTCCAAGTAAGTCCACTAATAATAAATATATTAATAAAATAATCATAATCATAATTACAATAACAATAACAATAACAATAATTATAATAAAATAATAGATATTAACAATTTTTTTTTAGCAACATGTTCCATTTAGCATTTTCGGTATAATTCAAAATCCAATGATTATTTCAACTTTATTACCAGTATTTTTAATTTTTGCACTTCCAAAAATGACATCATTCATTACAAATGATGAAGAAACTCGTGAAACATTAAAAGCATCACAACCAACATTAATCCAACAAGTCCCAGAATTACCAAAGTTTAAAGTTATAACAAATAAGTTAATAGAATAATAAAATTAATTTAAATTATATATCTTTTTTTTTTTAAAAAAAAACAACACAAAAAAAAAAACTTTTTATTTAATAGGAAACATAACTAAGAAATTGATTCAATCAAGTTTTGGCCAAAATAATTGAGATACATGGGCTTTATTTAAAATATCATCACTGCTATAGTGATCTGTTTCATTGTCTTTATTATCTGTAGAATGAGTTTGATACTAAAATAAACTTGATATTGATAAAACCAAAAATAAAAAATAAATAGAAAATTTTAAGAAAAGAATAACTTTATAATATTAATCATAATAGTAATTAGTATTAAGATTAATATTTTCTTTTTTTTTTTTTTTATTAAAGTTTTTTTTAATTGTTATTATTAATTAATAATTATAAATATTTTAAATTATATTATTAAAATTTTCGCTGTCTCTATCTTTTTTTTCGGTAATTAAAATTTTTAAATCATCTTCTGAAAAATTCATTATTAATTGATGAATACTGGGTTTATATGTTGAAAACTTATCGAGTATTATTAAAACGGTTTCTTTATCGATTGGTTTGAAATTTGAATTGTTAGAGTAGGAAATTGCTTTAGTTTTTTCTAATTTTTGTTTAATTTGAGCATTTGGTAAAAAGTCTAAATTTGAACGTAAATAATCGTAAGATTCATTTAAAATTGGTTTATTGAGTGGATAACGTGAAAAAAGATCTAAACTTGAACTTTCATTAGGTTCTGATAATAAGAGATAATGGAATTCCAATGGAGTGCAATGTTCGATAGAGTTTGTTTTTTCACCATAGAGTTTAATAATGTGACCGAGACTATTGTCATAGAGTACTCTATAAAAGTTTTCATAGAATATACGACCATTTGGATTGGTTGATTTTTCGATTTCTGAAAGAGAACCCCAAAACATTAAATTTGAAATTGGTGGAATTGGATATTTCTTTGAATAGATTCTAAGACCTAATGAAATAGAGTCCTCATTCTTTGGTGCCAAATTAAAGATTTCTAAAGCTTCATCAACCAAACCTAAATCTAATAATTTCATAATTTCAAGATTTGCGATGGATGGTGACATTTTGTATACTTGAATCATGTAATCGCAGAGTGGGCCCATAATCGCTCTTGAATGACCATCTTTTTTAATGGATAACTTGAGGAATTCTTCACCATGAGCAATGAATTTACCCAACTGTAGCATTTTACCGATGATAATTGATGCTAAATCGACATGGTCATGTTTAACTAAATATTTTAATAATGTGTTGTATATCCATTGTGAGTGTTGAATAGCTTGAGGCTCCTTTAATAATGTTTCTATGCCGAGCTTAAAGTCATATTCAAAGATATTGGTGTAGGCGTCTGGACTAAATACTATTGATCTAATATATTGTGGTGATCTATTTAACAAATCGATATACTTTTCTATATTTTCCCTTTCGATTATTTTGTAGGCTCTTATTACATTGTAAATACTTGGTGATAAAAAGATTGACTCTCTAAAATTATAATTTTCATCTGGTTTGAATGATTCTAAAAGTTTTTCAATTAAAAAGTCGATCTCTGATAAATTTTCATGTTTGAATAATTGAGATAAAATTGGGTGATGACTGTAACTGGAAGGTATATTTTGTTTTTTTAAAGTGTTAAAATATATTGGTTTGTTTAATATGTTTTCAAATGATCTCCATTTCATTTCGAGATTTGCTCTTTTATCTTTGATAGATTGAATTTTATTTGAAATGGGTGGACTATCTTCTTTTGTATTTGTAACGATTTTAATTTTTATATTATTATTTGTATTTGTAACTGAAGTGGAACTTGGTGAATAAACTGTTGTGGATGATGTTTCTTTTTCAAATATTTCATGATATGGTGCCTTTAATAGTTTTTCATAACTTTCATCTAAAACCTTAACCTTCCAAAAATCTTCCAAAATTTGATCTTTAGTAACCTCTTTGTGGAATTGTAAAAATATTTTATATACTTGAGTGGATGGTGATGAACCATAAACTGAAATTTTCTTTCCTAACCAATTGAGTGCCATATGATACAAGTCTAAAACTAAATAAGTTTGAATTATGAAATTTAATGAGTGATGTTTGATTCTTAATGTAGAGTCTACCATTAAATGGTTTTCTACTAATTTTGCCAACTCTTGATTATTTGACAATTCGTTATAAACCAATACTAAATACATTGTGTTTGGAACTGAATTTTTTAAAATTAAATTATTAAATTTATTCTTGACGTCTTGTGGTAAATTTTGCTCTATATTTATGTATTCTAGTAATCTTTGAGTGACATGGACATCAATCTTTACATTTGTTTTATTTAAAATTCTCTCCAATTCATCCATTTGATTTGATAAAATACACCAAAGAATTAATTTGGTTGATAAATCTTCACTTGGTAATCCTTTGAAGTTTTTAACACGGTTATCATAGATCTCTTTGGAAATTTCCAAATACTCTGATTGCTTTTCTAATGTTTGTAATGGCATTTGTCTAAGGAAATGTAATGATATATTTAAAAATGTAGTTGATGTTATAAAATTCTTTTTACTGATTAAATCTAGTATTTCATTAACTACTGGTCTTTCCATTTGAGATACTTTTTCAATAAATTCTAAAAAGTAATTAGAGTTGATAAAAATTGGAACAGAGTTTAAATTTCTAAAAAATAATTTAATTGCTAAATTGATTGATTCTTGAGTACCTTTGGATAAATGATAATTTAAAAATTCGTTAAAAGCATCTAAAGATTGAGCGTTGGGTTGTGTTGATAATTTATTATATAAAGATGCAGCTGCTGTTATATTGTTGGTTCTTAAACAAGCGATCACTAATAAACTGAGACTTTGACGATCTTCAACTTTATGACTTAAAATAATTCTTTGAACTAATTGTTCCATTCCCTCCTTATTATTGAATCCAATATAATATCTTAATAGACTATTATAAAAACCATTATTAAAATAAACTTTATTATTATTTTCGACAAAATTGATAATATTATTGACATTCTCTAAAACCCTTTCATTTTGTTGTGTATTTTTTGTTGATATATCTGTTATTTTATTTTGATTTAATAAATGATTTATAAATTGTTCAAATATAAAATTTAATGTACTTGAATTTTTCCCTTTAAATTGAATATTATTATATAAAAACTCTACTGATTCAATTGTATGGTGTGGACTTTCTACTAATTCTTCAATTCTATTAAAAATAAAAAATTAAAATTTATTTTTTAAAAAAAAAAAAAAAAAAAAATTTTAATACACTTACAAATAATAAGTTGGTTTTGATTGTTCTACACCAAATAATAAATTGGAAAGTTTAATTAAATATTCTTTTTTCTTTTTATCAGCTTCACTAGTTGGTGAATAATGCTCCTTAACCTTTGAATGTAATTTCTCCATAAATTTTTGTGATTTACTTAGAGCATTTTTTGAGTTGTTATTATTATTATTACTATTATTACTATTATTATTATATCTTAAGTTGTTATTACTATTATTGTGTTTTGAATGCTGATGTATATTAACATTATCAATATTTGTTGTTGATGTGGTTGTTGTTGAAGTAAAAAATAACTTTGTTGCCACTGAAGTTTTTGGTATAATTTTTTTTGAACTTCTAATTAAATTTAACATTTTTTTTATTTATTTATTTTTTCATTTAGAATTTATAAATCTTTGTTGTTATTAATTATTCAAAAATAATGATATTAATTATAAAAAAATAAAAAAAATAATGAAAAAATTAAAAAAAATGAAAAAAAAAAAAAATGAAAAAAAAAAAAAATGAAAAAAAATTTTAAAAAAAACGAAAAAAAAAAAAAAAAAATAGGGTTAAAGATAATTCAATTCCTAATTTATAATTAAATCAAATATATAATAATTGATAAATTTAAATAACTATAATCGTTAATTAAAAAAAAATAAAAATAAAAAAAAATTTGTAAAATATATTTTTTTTTTATATATATTGTTTTTTTTTTATTTATTTTATTTTTTATTTTTTTTTTTAACTAAACCAATAAAATATTAAAATAAATTATAAATTGTTTAATTTGTAAAAAGAAATAAATAAAGATTTTTTTTTTTTGTATTTTTATTTTTTTTATTTTTTTTTTGGCATAATCATATAAAAAGTAGTGCGTTACCTATTCACACAATGAAACCCATATAAAAATAAAAAAAAAATGAAAAAAAAATTTTTAAAAAAATTTTTTTAAATTTTTAAAAAAATTCCACCAAATAAAAAAAAAATAAAAAAATTTTTTACGCCCTTTTTCGAAATCTTTGACAACATACAAAATGGTTAGTAAACATATTTATATATATACATATAATTTTAGATACACTCCCACCATGCCAAATTTTCATTATATTATATCAATCTTTAATTAGTTATCATAATCTTTGAAGATTAACAAAGATTAATAAAGATTAACAGAAGAGTGGATGTGGATGTTGAGATAAAAGATAAACACAAACCTACGAAAACACAACAACAACCAACACAACAACATATATACAACGACACAACAAGGATATTAATTTTATATTTATATTTCAAATAGGCTAAAGAACGTGGTGATTTACTCTTCCCAAGCATCGAATCTGAAAAACGTAAACACAAGTTAAAGAGATTAGTTCAATCTCCAAACTCATTCTTTATGGACATCAACTGTCACGGTTGCAGAACCATCACAACCGTTTTCTCACATGTATGTTATTTTTTTATGGATTAACGATATTACAGAAAAAAAGAGATAGATTACTAATTAAAATTATTTTAGGCCCAAAACGTTGTCATCTGCAGTTCATGCTCAACCGTCATTGCCCAACCAACTGGTGGTAAAGCTAGAATCACTGCTGGTTGCAGATTAAGACACAAAGGCGAATAAACAATAACCTTTTAGTTTAAATAAAAAAAAGCAATATATAAAATTATATAGGTGTAAAAAAAAAAAACTATGGATTATTTTTGTTTTTGTTTTTTAGGTATTATAGCATTTAGGTTATTATTTTTATTTGGAAGGATTCATAGGAAAAAGGTGATTGATTGTTTTTTTATGTAATTTTGTGTTTTATAAATAGCATTTTCTTTTAGCTATTTATTGGTTTTTTTGTATTTTTATTTAGTTGAACAGCCTTTATTTATATATTTTAAATAATATTTAATGATATAGCACAGAATTTGTGCAAACCCATTCGTTTTCGAGACACTTGCTGTATACACAAACACACCCCCTTTTTTTTTTGAATTCCCCTAAATATTTTTTGATTTATACTAACTTTTATAGGGCAAAAAATAAAACATATTGGTTATAATAAATACACTTTAAATTAATTTTGTTTATTTTTAGATTATAACATCGACAATTCAATATAAAAATTTCGAGTAACCCAAAAAAGTTAAAAAATAGTATACGAAATCATTTATGGAATCATAACAGAACAATAATTTGTGGAAATGTTATGCAATTGATGTTTTGGATAGATCATATTAATGGTTGTGCAACAGCTGGTTTTATTTCATAGATTCTGTTTTCTTGGCCAAACATTATTATATTCAATAATTTGTCATCTTTTTTTTTTTTTTTTTTTTTTTTTAATATTATTTTTATATTATAATGAATAAGTATTAATATCATAATTAAATAGAAAATGTAATCAGGCATTCAGCATCAAATAGTTTGGAAATTAAATAATTCAAATAGAAAAGAATAGAACATGTCAATGGTTCATAAGGTTATGCAAATTTAAGTAATGGTTCGGGTAAATAATTAGTTTGGTGTTGGTTCAAATATTTTAAAAGATATAAAATAAAATAATAATTTTTTTTTTTAATACATTCATAGTTTTATTATATTTATATTTTTAAATAGTTTAATTAAATATATAATAAAAAAATATTTTTTAAATAGTAGAAAGTTTTTTTATTTGATTAAATTTTAAATCTTTTCAAAAGTGTCCACTGAAACTAAATCTTTGATTTAATGATTTTTAAAGGAGTAAAGAATGGATGAAGATTTAGAGTTGGTAGAGATCTTTTTTTGCTGAGAGGTTTGGTAAATTATACTTCACCATCAAGTGGTCTATTTCCTAACCTAAGTTTTTTTATTATATTTTTTTCCATTTTAGTTTATTATTTATTTTGTATCTATAAATTTTATATATTTTATAAATATTATTATTGAAACAAAAAGGTTTGGCAATGAACAATAGTATAATAAAAAAAGAAGGTGATGAGTTTCAATACAAACATCAGGAATTTACAATTTTTTAAATATTAATAATAAAAAGTAATTCAAAATATTTTTTTTATTTTTTTTAATTATATGGAAATAATTTTTGATTGATTTTATTTTTATACATTTTGGAAAGAAAGGGAATATGAGATGGTGACTTGGTTGCTTATCTTTATTTTTTATAAACAATAATTCCCACATTAAATTTTTTTAAGTCAAATATTTCTAAAAATTTCCATAAATTGGTTGTGATACAGTAGAAAAGCGGTTAACTCGTTCGTCTCGAAAACGAATCCCTTCGGGGGCGCAGGTTCAAGTCCTGCCTGTATCGATATATTTTACCTCTTCCAGGTGATTTTTATTTTTTTTTTTAGTTATTTTTTATTTTTTTTTATTGGGAAGTGATTTTTTTTTGTTTTTTTTATTGGCCTTTTGTATTGAAAATAAAAAACAAATATAAATATTACTTTTTTTAATTTGTTTATAAATATAAATATTTTTTTATATTTTCATTTTTATTTTCATTTTTTTTTTTTTTTTAATTTTTTTTAAAAAATTTATAAATTTATAAAATTTTTTTTTTTATTCAAATTTCATAATTTATTATTTTTTAATATGACACAATTATAAAATGAATAATAATTTTAAACCATCTTCACCATCTGATTTTAATAATAGTCAACAGCAACAACCACAAAATATAAATCCTACATTAAATGCAATATTATCACCAATTAAATATAGTAATTTAAATAATAATAATAATAATGGTTTAAATAACTCCAACAATAGTTTATTAACAACATCAAAATCATTTAATTCACTGACATCATTAGAGTCATTAAATAATAGTAGTAATGCCGTTTCTAATGTCAATAATAATATAAATAGCAATACTAATAATAATGAAATAATTAAAAATCAAAATTTAATATCATTAATACCAAATTATCAAATTAAAAAATATGAATTGCAAGTTAAAGATTTATTCGAAAAGAATTCACCAGATAGTATGAAATCTATCGAATATAAAAAGAGATCAGAAATTGAAGATATGAAGTCTCAATTAAGAAATTTAATAGGTAATAAATATCGTGATTTGGTCGAGGGTTCAGATGCTATTGTTAAGATGAAAAAATCAACAGAGTTAATATCAGATAATTTAATTCAAATGCAATTAGAATTAAAACAATTTTCAGATAAAAGAAATCAAAGAAAAGGAATATCACAAGATAACTCAAAACAAATTAAAGGTAATTTATATATTTTAACATATATTATAGAGTTTTTTATTTTTTATATTTATTAATATAAATTTTTTAAAATTTAGAAAAAGAAATTCAGAAAAAAATATCAATATTTTCAAAATACTGTAAATTTTTAATTGATATACCAGAGGTTATCTGGAGATCATTGGATAGTAATGATTATTTTGAAGTATCGGTACATTTTTTAAAATCAAAATATTTATATTATAAAATTACAAATGAAACCAATGTAGAAATTAAAAAACTATTAGTAAGTTTTAAATAATAATAAATTATAAATTAATTTAATAAATTATTAATTTTTTTTTTATAAAAAATAGTCAAAGTTAGTTATTATAGAAAAGCAATGGTTATTAATGAAACAATTTCCAATTAAGATTACAAGTTATTCAAAATCATTTTTATTTGAATCAAGTAGACAGTTTCAAACACCCATCGAAAAATATATTGGTTCTTTATCAACATTGGTTTTATTTGACAAGAAATCAATTAAAGATACATTTAAAGAGTTTTTATTATCAAGAAAGATAATATTATTAAATTATATATTAAATAATAGCCAAATTCAAAATCAATCCATTCAAAATATTATTGAAAAGATGATTCAATTTTTAAAGAATACAGTTTATTATATATTATTGTTATTTTATCCAAGAAAAGAGTTGGTTAGTAACCTCGGCAGCGATATCAACGAAGAGGTTGAAGAAGATGAAAATGACCTTGTATCAAATCAATATCAATCAAAACTTTCAAAATTCAAATCAAATTTAAATAAATATAAAAAATCAGACAATACAGATAATACTTTTGAAGAATTAAATAAAGAAAAGGAGTTTATATCATTTACAGATAACGAATTAAATCAATTACCAAAGTTAAATTTTACATCATCAATTTTAGAAGCAACATTTACATGGAGATCACCATATTTAAAAGATTGTTTAAAATATTATAAGCAAGTTTCAAATGGCACAAATGAACAATTAAATGAAAATAATAATAGCAATAATAATAGTAATAATAATAATGGTTTATCAGAAGAAATTGATCATGGTCTAATCGAATTTGAAAATTTTAATTCAAATTTCATATTAAATCGTACTTCAGAATGGCTGGAAGAAATTTTAACAGATTTTAAAAATTCATCTCAAATTCATCTTTGTAAAATCAATAATTTAAAAGACTTATCAATAATAAGATTAGAAATATTTAATATAATTTTAAAGTTTTTAAATCCAATTCAACAATTACAAAATAATAGTAATAATCAATCACTTAATTGGAATAAAGTTTTCTCAATAATTACCGGTAAAGATATAAAATATTTTTTAAATATTTTCAACGAAATCTTTTTAATCAAGATCGAATCAATTATCGAAAATTCTTTCAAAACCATCAATTTATCAAACATTCAAATCGAATTATTTAATCAAATTAAATCTGAAGATAAGAACTTTTCCGAATTCCTTTGGTTTAATAATCAAGATGATCCAATTCAATCAATTAAAAATAAGACTAATGGTATAACACCATCAAATAATTTATTCTTAATCAAAACAAATCAACAATATAATCAATTAAAAATAGATTTAATAAGTTTGTTTAATAATAATAGTAATGATAGTAATAATAATAATAATTTAAATAATAATAATTTAAATAGTTTAAATAATAATGAAGAAAAGCAAATAATATCAAATTATTTTGGAATTAATGAAAATTTAATTAAAGATTATATGAAAAAGTATTTTTTAATTTCAATTAATCAATTTACACAAAAAACTGAAGAAAAAATAAATAACTTGTTAAATCAATTAAATAATATTAAACAACAATCACAGCAACAACAATCACAACAACAACAAAATAAAATTATTGAAGAAATTTTATTTATTTCAAAAATATTAAAAATATTTTATAAAAATATAATTTTAAATCCAAATTTATATTTTTTAAATTTAAATAATATTTTTGAATCAACTTCAAATGGTTCTTTAATTTCACCAAAACAACAACAAAAACAAGATAATAAAGAAAAACAATCAAGTCTTCAAATTCAAAATTTAGATTTATTAGATATCGAAAAATTAAAGCAATTGTTTTATTATTGCTGTATAATCTGGATCAATCAATTCGTTTCAAAGTATTCCGATAATTTAAATTTAGAAATTGTAAATCAAAACTGGGACGATTCGAATAGAATTAAAACTTGGGAAAAGCACACTATTCAAGCTGAAAATGAATCTGGTTCGTTAGATCAATCAACAATCTATATTCCATATCAAGTTTCACCTTTTATTTCATTATATTTAATTTCAATATCTTTGGAAATCAGCAAATTCAGTTTAAATACAATAGATAAAAATATTTTAAAATATACCTTAGAAACAATAGTTTCTAATTTATTTAAAATTTATAATGGTTTATTAAATTCAACTTCAACTACTACTCAACACAAATTCAATAAAGAAGGCTATATTCAATTATTAATAGATTTGAAATATTTAGGTTTAGTTTTATTTGGTAGAGATTTTATAATTTCAAAAAAACAACAACAGCAACAGCAACAATCAAATTTATTAAATCAATTTTTAATAAAGGAACAAAATTTCAAAAAATCAAAAAATCTTTATCAACAATCACAAGATATTCAACAACAACAACAGCAACAACAAAATAATCCATTATCTTTATTTAATCAAATTATTGAATTGGTAGAAAGTAAATTAGATCCAATTGATTTAATGTTTTATAATCCATATATAAACAAGTTTTTAGAGTCAGTTTATTCAAAAACCTTTACATTGTTTGGAAATTTCATTTATTTACATAAAACAATTCCAAAACCAATCGAAAAGAAAAAAGTAGAGTTAATATCTTCACCAACCTCAGTTTCTTCTTCAGAATCATCATCAGATATTCCAAATTCAATGCAATTATTAAAAACAAATACAAAGTTTCAATTGTTTTCAAGTGACACTATACAATCAATTACAGACTCTATAACAAATTCTACAAATCAATCATCAAATATTAATAATAGCAATTTATTATCACCACCAATTCCAATAAAACAAAATCAACAACAACAAAATCAACAACAAAATCAACAACAACAACAACAACAGCAACAACAGCAACAACAGCAACAACAAAATTCATTCCTTTCTTCATCTCCATCATCAACAATTAATACATTCTCTTTTATGGGTAAAAAAATTTCAGATTTGATGTATAATAAAAAATAAAATAAAAAATAAAAAATTTTTGTTTGTTTCTTAAAATTATTTTATTTCACACCTTTTTTTTTTTTAAAATAATTTTTGGTTTTTATATAAATAATCTTAATTATTATTATAATTGTTTTTATTGTAAAAAAAATATCTTTGGATTTTTTTTTTTTTTTTTTATTTATTTATAAAAAATTTTTAAATAAAACAAAAATTTTATTATTATTTTAAATGATTTCTAATGGCACCAAAAAGAATTAAAATAAACCACAATTTGGACAAAGACGACTCAAATATTAAAAAAGATTTTGAGCTTTTTATAATTTTTAAAGAGGTTGCTCCATATTTAACAATTTCTTCCAATACTTTTAATGAAATATTAGAACTTTCTTTGTTATCAAAAAAATCATTAAATTTATTTCAAAATTTAATTCTTCAAAATAAATCAAATTTAATAATAAATTATAAATCATTTTTACAATATATAAATAATAATAATAATTATGAAAATAAAATAATTCAATATAAAACTATTGAGGCAATTAAAATTTATAATTTAAAAGAATCCACATCAATTGCAAATGAAAATTTAAAAGTGTGCAGTAATTTGAAAAATGTAGAAATTATTGATTATTATACTTCAAGGGGTGGTGTTGGAGAAGGATTATATTCAAAGAAAAAAAATAATAAAGAAGAGAAAGAAGAAGAAGAGGAGGAAGAAGAGGAAGAAGAAAAAGAAGAGGAACCTATAAATTATATAGATCCGGCAAAAAGTTTTAATCCAAGTTTTGATAGTTTTTTTAAATTCAATAAATTAAGAATTGAAATGGGTGAAACTTGTAATCCAATATCAAATAAAAAGGAATATAAAGAAACTAAAGAGTTTGATTCAGAAATCGCAGAAACTTATCAATATTCCTTTGACTTTATTTCAAAATACAATCCAAAAAAACTATTTTTAAAATCAATTTCATATGGTTTTCAAAGTATTACCAAGGTAGAAAATATTTTAAAGTGTGCATCAATCAAATCTATAAAATTTGATCAAGGATATTCAATTGATAATTTTGAATTTTTACAACTTGCATTGCTAAATTCATATATAACCTCTTTAAGTGTAAGCTTAGAATTAAATTCAGAATATGATTTTGATACAGTTTTCAAAGGTTTAACAGATTTCAACAACTCAAATATTCAAAAGTTACTTATTTTCTACCCTTATGACGATTATAATGAATTTAATAATCAAGAAAAACAATTAAACCAATTCTTAAAGATAATAGAAGGCCATCCATACCTAAATACCCTATGTCTTGATATTTTTCCGGTCCTAGATTCCAAATTATACCAACCATTAATATTAATGAACAAAATTAAGACACTTCATATCAATATTGTTAATCATTATAAAGAAGAAATTTTTAACCATGCCCTTATCAATCCAAATCTTTTAAAAATAGTTATTCATTTTAAATATCAATTTAAAGATCAATTGTTAGATTTTATTAAAAATCTAAAAGGTAATAATAATTTAAAATTATTAGTTATAAAATGTTACAAGGTTAAAGAAAGTCCATATAATATTTCAGAGCTAATTAAAAATTTAGAAATTAATCATATAACAATTAATATTAAAGAAAATATTGAGTATTTTCAAATAAAAGAATAAAGTTATTTTTTATTTAAAAAAAAAATTTATATTTATTAATTTTATTTAAAATGTTTTTTAAAGATTATAACCAAAACCACCATCATTGTGATTGTTATGGTTTCTGTTTCTGTCATAATAACAAACTGGAACTCTTTCACAGCAATCATCTCTGTTAATTGGTACTGGTTTCATTGTACAAGATAATCCTTTTCTTTCACAATTCATATCTCTGCAAGTTAAACATTTCTTTGAATGATCATGGTCATGATCATCACCATGACCTGATGGGAGGCATCTTTCTTCTCCATGAATAAATTTGCATTCATGGTGTGGTGGGCATTTCTTCTTGCAATGGTGTGGTTTTGGTGGTGGTGGTGGTGGTGGGTGGCCTGATGGGAGGCATCTTTCTTCTCCATGAATAAATTTGCATTCATGATGTGGTGGGCATCTCTTCTTACATTCGTGTGGTTTTGGTGGTGGTGGGTGGCCTGAAAAAACACATTTCTTTATACCATGTTCAATTTTGCATTCATGGTGTGGTGGACAATGGACATTACATTTTTCATGTGGGTGATGTGGGCCATTTGGTTCACATTTACCTTCATTATTTTCTGCAACACAATGGAACTTATCTGGGCAATTAAAGTTTTTACATGGATCATGTGAGGCATCTGCAACACACTTGGCTAATGAACCATTTGCTTCGCAGTGGAAATGTTCTGGGCAATGTGTCGAGTCACATGGGTTTCCTTTTTTGACGCATTTGGAAACACCATCATGAGTTTCACATTCAAAGTAGGGGGGGCATTGTACATTGGAACAGCCATCTACATTGCCGCTGGTATGACCACTACTATGACCAGTGTGTCCACCAGTGTGTCCACCAGTATGACCACCAGAGGTTGATGAGCTTGGTGATAAGCAATGTACTTCACCATTTTCTTCAACACATTGTGTACCAATTGGGCACTCAGTTGTTAAACATGAAGATCCACCTGAAGTTGGTGAGCCACCTGTTGATGAAGAAGAAACACCGAAAGTTGCGGAGCCAGTTGTGGAAATAATACAAGTTTCTTCACCATTAATTTGAGTGCAATGTGATCCAGGTGGGCAATTTCTTCCACCACACAAATTTCCACCACTTGATGAACCTCCTGATGAATGACTTGGGGTTGGAGTTGGAGTTGGAGTTGGGCTTGGAGTGTAGGTTGGTTCTTCACCATCACCTAATATGAAAAGCTTCATTAGTAATTTAATAAATAAATAAAATAATATTTTTTTTACTTACAAACTTCGTAACCTGGACAACATGATGTTGGGTTTTTGCAATCAAGTCTTTGCCATTTACAGGCCAAACCTTTTTTACCACATGCATCTTGTTTAGCTTGTGAGCATGATGGGTTTGGTGGTGTAAACAATTCAAAACCAGCTGGTTTATAACATGCATTGGAGACTTCAATAATATCTTCTTTATTCTTATAGCACATATTTTGCCATGGGCATTGTTCTTGAGAACCTTCAATACATGTCCATTGTTGTTCACCACAACATTTTTTATAATTTACTACCATACAACCTGCTTCTGAATGACATGCATCTTGAGTTTTAAGTGATTCACAACGATCTATTTTAAGAATAAATATAAAAATTATTAATATTAGTTTTACAAAGTTTATTATTTAGTTTTTTTATATTTACCATGAGCCTGTGCTCCACTTATAGTTAGTAATAATACAAGATAGGCTATATACCTTAACATTTTATTTTTTTATTGATATAAATGTAATTTTACTGTAATTAGTTTATTGTTTATATATATTAATAAAACAAAAAATAATTGTAATGAATATATAAAAAAAAAAAAATTTATTTAAATGGTAATTTAAAAAAAATATTTAAAAAAAAAAAAAAAATTAAATAATAATATTTACAATTCACCAGAATTAAACACACATACACACTAAAAAAACATGAGTTATATTTTGTAGTTATTATATCTATTATCATATTAAAATACAATGGAAATATCAAAAATGAAATTATTTTTTAAACCCCACCCCCAAATTTTTTTTTTTTTTTAATTTATTTTTGTTTTTTTTTTGAAATAATTTATGAATGGGGGTAAAAATTAACTATATATATTTACACTACGAAAAAGCATATTAAACAATTCTCACAGGTAGTGTTAAATTTATATATAGATTGTAATAAATCACATGCATAGCTTTTTTTCCAATTCACATTCCATTTTGGGTAATGTTTTTTTAATAATAATTACAAATTTTACAAATTTCAATGTTTTTTTTTTTTTCTATAATTTTGATTTTAAAAAATATTTCCCAAAAAGTATTGTAATTTAATTTACAAATCAATTGTATTTTTTAAAAAAAATGATATAATTGAAATCATATTAAATTTATCATTTATTTGAAATAGTAAATAAAAATATTGAAAAACTTAAACTTCATAAAGATAAAAAACTTTTACGATCATTTATTAAAATTACAATTGTTATTATTAAATTTTTTAATTAAACTTTTTTTATTTTTTTATTTAAATTTATTATTTTTTTTTATAAACTTTTTTTATTTTGATATTCTTTTAATGCTGATCTGTAATCAATTTCTGGGACATGATCCATTGGAGCATCTAAATCTACATATTCCCTAATACCTCTAGGATCGGAAGATGAGGTACTATGACGTGATTGATTTGGATATGGACGATAACGAGCAGATGAAGATGAAGGTTGATCATTTGAATAGCCACCTCTTGGATTTGGAGAGAGATTACCACCAGCGCCACTAACAGTTGATCCACCATAGCTTCTTCTCATTGGAACTATACCGTGTGGTGGAACACCATTTGGACCTCTACCACGAATTCCATTGGGTGAGGCGAAAACTGGTGACATTAATTGTACCATTGGTTGATTTGGTAACATTCCTGGTGGAAGAATACCAATTGGTTGGAAAATTGGTTCCCATTGACCTATTGTTGGATTAAAACGAGCTCTTGGTTGACCTGCAATACCTGGTGGTAAGCCTCTACCTGCGCCACCGCCAAATCCAGCATACATTGCATTAGGTGGTTGTTGTTGTGGTGGTGGTAGTGGTGTGATACGACGTGGATCAGAGAAATAATTTAAAAAGAATTGTTCTTCGGTACCTTTAGTTTCAGATTCGTTTTTAAGCTCCTCTGGATGTTTGAGATTTATATGTTTCTTTACGTATTCTGCTCCTTTAAATAATTTTGAGCAAAGATTACATTTATATTTTTCTTCCTCAATCTTTATTGTATTATTGTTGATATAGTCTTCAGCTGCTTTTTCAATGGCCTCTTTACATAAATATTGTTCGTTGCTAGTTGGAATTCTGGCGATTTTGTTCTTTGTATTATTATCTAATGATGTTACCCATAGTTGTTCTGATTCTGTTGTTAATTTTGGTTTATTATCTACAGACTCAGTTGAAGTTATATTATTATTTGAACTTAATTTTAATTCATCTTTACTTTCTTCTATATTCATATTTTCTTCTTTATTCTCTTCATCATTTTCTTTATTATTTTCATCTATATTATTACTATTATCTATATTATCTAAATTATTATTTTCATCTTCACTATTCTTTTTAATTTTTTCTATTTGTTCAGTTGATTTATTATTTTCTGTTTCCATCTGTTCATCGTTGGTAGTTGAAGTGGTTGTAGTGGTTGTGGTGGTTGGCTCTTCCTTTTTTTCAATTGAAATTGATGTTGTTTCACCTGGTGATCTTCTTAAATGAATTGTACCACATTTTCTAATAGTTTCACATTCATCCGAAAATTCTTCTGAGCAATAATAACAATAAAAATGAACATATCTTAAATATAATATAGTTCTATCCAACTTTTCAATACTGGTTAACTGGTTCCATTTTTCGAATGATTCAATAGGATTATTGGTAATTCCTTTATTTTGATCGAATAATCTCATTAATGTGGTTGATTGTTCCAAATCAATATAAATTCTATTTTCTGTTGATGCTATATGTGGTGTAATCTTAAATCTTCTTTCTGCATCTTCGGATGGTTTATTAATATTTAAATATAAATCAAAATCTTTCATCTATAATAAAAAAGTAAAAACAAATATAAGTAAATTTTTTAATAATAATAATAATAATTTAAATAATCTTACTTTATAACCATTTAATTCTTTTAATGCTTTTGCTGCCAAATCACAATTTTTATATGTAACCCATCCTAAACGGTAAAAATTCTTATATCTAACAGGTTCGCTTAAGGTAAGTTTTGTTACAACACTTTGTTCTCCTGCTGGTGCAACTTTATTTAAAACTTCTAATAGTTCATCTTTTGTACAAGCTGGTGAAACGGCTTTAATAAATAATGTTGATTTATCTTTATCATTAATATTTGAAGCTGCATTTATTGAAGATTTAGTTAATGATGTTATTGTTGGTGTGGTTGCGTTATTATTGTTGGATGCTATTGATTTTTCATTTTTATCATCTTCCTCCATTTTAGTTTCTTCATTTTGATCTTCTTCAGTCTTTTCTGTACTATTTGTATTATTTGAATTATTTGTATTTTCTGTTGGTTCGTGGTGGTGCATATCTAAACCATCTAAATCTAATTTATCACCTTCTTTAATATTATCTTTTGATTCTAATGAAAATTTATGATTTTCTAAAAACAAAAAAAAAAAAACTTATTAATATTTTTAAAAATAAATATATAGAAAAAATAAAATATTTACCATCATTTAAATTTAATGAAAATGTTGATACCAAAGATTTTGATTTTTCAACTTTTTCTTTTCTTTTTTTTGCTAAAAAAACTGGATCATATTTTTCTTTAAACCATTCTTCATTTTGATGTTCTTTAAAAAATACTCTTGACTGTCTTTTTGAATATTCCACTTTATACTCTTCATATTTTTTATCAGCGTCTGCTGCTGTAATTTGATCATCTTGATAATCTAAAAATTGTTTATATGATCTAAAATATCCACCTTCAAAAATGTCACCTTTCTTTTGTCTTTTTGGTGTTGATGTTGATGATGCTGTTGATGATGGCGCACCTTTACCACTGGGTGTGCTATTTGGTGATGCTAAATGACCACTTGGGGTTATTGATGAAGTATTATTATTGCTACTATTATTACTATTTGATGAATGATGTCCATGATGTCCATGATGACCTTGATGCCCATTTATATCATCTGGATATCCATTTCTATTGTTTCTATAATTATCCCTATAAAAAAAGAAAGTAAAGTATTAAAATGATGAACTATTAAATATTTAAATTATTATTACTAATAATAGATGAATTACTTACCAATTATCATCACCTCTATTTCTACCTCTGCCTCTATAACCTTGTGATGGTGAGGGAGATCTTCTTCTTCTTTCAGGTGAATGGTCTCTACCACCTCTTTGATATCTATCTGGTGAATATCTATCTCTTCTCTTTCTATATCTATCGTATTCTCTATCGCTATCACTATCGGATGATGAATCTCTATTTGGTCTTAAAGGTCTACCAAACTCATCGACTGCTTCTTCCATATTTTTATTTCCATTTGTATTATTACTATCCATTATATTATGATAGATTATTATATAAAGTATCAATAATTTATTATTTAGCGTTTATAAATTTATATAATATACAAATATATATAAAAAGTGTTTTGATATATATACTAATGTACTATTATGATATTTCTATTTTATATAAATTTGAATTGTTTTATTATAATTGATTTTTTATTTTTTTGTAATAATACTAAATTTAAAAAAAAATAAAATAAAACTAAATAAATAAAACACACTCTATATAGAAGAAAAAAAAAAAAAAATGTAGAATATGGATTATTTATATTATTAATTAATTATAAATTAATAAATAACAATGATTTGGTATAATTAAATAAAAGCTAAATTAAAAAAAAAAAAATAAAAAAAAAAAAAAATTAAAAATAATAAAAAAAAAATTTTAAAAAATTTTAAAAAAATTTAAAAAAAAAAAAAAAAAAAAAAAAAAATAATATTTATAATTTTAAAAATAAATATTTTATTTCGAAGTTCTATTGTGGAATTTAAAATTATAAAAAAAAAAAAAAAAAAAGAAAAAGAAAAAAGGGAAATGATCAAAATGAAAAATATTAATCTATAAAAAGATTGAATTTTATTAAGGTATTGTTTACAATTTAATATAAAACATAGAATTATTTGTATAAATTTCCGAAAAAAAAAAAAAAATAATACAAAAAAAAAAAAGATTTTTTTTTATTTTTTTATTTTTTTTAATTTCAAGAAATATTTACATATCTGGCTATTAAATTATTAATTATTGTAATAGGTTTTTTTTTTGGATAAATGAAAAAAGTGTTGATTTCATTTGATTCATTTAAAGATTGTATTGGATCATTCCAGTTGGGCACAATTGTAGATCAGTGTTTAAAAGAATTTTATGACGAAAATAAAATAGCAAATATCGAGGGAAATGAAATTTTGAGAATTAGCGATGGTGGTGAAGGGTTGTTAGAATGTTTGCAATACAGTTTAAATTTAGATATCAAGCAATTTAATGCAGATGATGGAATTATTGGACCATTGGGAACAGTGTTGGAAAGTTGTAGATATGCATATCATCGAGAGGAGAATTACGCAGTTATTGAAATGGCAGAGGCCTCTGGTATCCAACTCGTCCCAGTCAAGAAGAGAACACCATTTTTAACAACTACTTATGGCACTGGTCAATTGATTTTGGATGCAATTAAAAGTGGATTTAAAAAAATTTATATAGGTGCAGGTGGCTCAGCCACCAACGATGCAGGTCTAGGTGCTCTTCAAGCTTTGAAAACCATTAATGTCAAAATCAATCACGATGAGCACTACTACAAGCCGATACTATTTGGTAAAGATATTACAAATATTACATCGATTGATGTAAATCAAGAGTTTGTGTATAGCGACATAGAGTTTTACTTTTTAAGCGATGTAAAGAACCCAATGGTTGGTCCCAATGGTGCGGTGTACAGCTTTGCGGGTCAAAAGGGTGCGAGCGAAAATGATAAAATAATATTGGAGCAGGGTATGGTAAATGTCAGTAAACTATACCCTATCGATATCAGCACTATAGAAGGAACAGGCGCAGCAGGTGGTTTAGCATCAGGGTTTATGTCGATTTTTAACCAACATTGTAAAATTATAAATGGAATGAGTTTTGTATGTAATTCGTATCATCTCGAAGAGCGTCTTGAGAATGGAGAGTTCTCTTTAATGATAACTGGTGAAGGTTGTTTTGACGATACTACATTATCAGGCAAGGTGGTTTCCAGAATGATGTCAATATGCCAACAGCATAACATACCTCTATTAATAATCTGTGGTATGAAATCAATTTCAAATCCAAACTATCAAACATTCAATCCCGAAACATGTAAAATATTCGATCTTGTATCCCAATTTGGTTCTAACGAATCACTAAACAATACCAAACATTGTATCAATCAACTATTTGTCAAAAACCAAAATCTAATTAATTTTCTAAAAAAAATACTTTAAAATAATTGCTGTTATAATAAAATAAATAAAAAAATAACCATTATTATCATTATTATTATTTCTATATTTTATGTACATTTTTATAAATAATTTTAATATTTTATTTTTTTATTTTTTTTTTAAGTTTATCTTCAACCTCTTCATTCTTTCTCTTTAGATTATTATTATTATTGTTTTTATTATTTATATTATTATTATTCTTTTTAGCGCTATTATTTGGTTTATTTAATATTTTATTATTATTTTTAATTTGTGGCTTTTCTACTTTCACATCTTCTTTTTCTTCTTTTTCTTCCTGTTCTTTATATAGATTTATATTATTTAATAGTGATTTAGATCTATGGTTTAAATTATTGTTTTTATTATTATTACTTTTTTCTTTTGGTTGTTCTTCTTTAATTTCTACATTATTTGTTTCTAAATCTTTAGGTCTAGTTTTTTCAATTTGTTGATTTTGAACTTTTTTTTCTTTATTTAATTTATCGAGATTCGAATTAAAGCTTCCAAACGACATTCTACCAACACTTTTAAAACCAATTACCTCACTTTGACTGCATGTATTTAATGTTTCGCCATCAAATGAACCTTTAACTACCCAATGTGATTCCTTAATGGTTTGTTCTAGTTTTTTTTGTAATTCTTCCCTGTATGCTGCTTCTTTTTTATTTTGCATAAATTTCATATTTGATAATTTTTCTGAAATTGCAGGGGCTTTACTTGGTGATTCTTCCATTTTTTTATTTATTTTATTTTACTATTAAAACTAAAATTTCATATTAATATTATTGTGTAAAAATTCATGTTTTGTAAGGAATATTATATTATAATATTGTTAAACTATTTTCTAATATTTGTTTTATTATATTGTTGTTATTAATAGTGTATTGTTATTATTGTGATTAAATCTATTATTGATTGTGTAGGTTGGATAAATAATGCACAACTATCAATACTGTTATTATTTATTATTGGTAAAAAAAAAAATATATATGATGTATATGGAGAAATGAAAAAGAAAAAAAATTTATTTTGATTTAGTTGTGTGTTTTATTTATTTGAAGGTATCAAATTGGGGGTGAGGGGTAAATAATGTGGTGGGTGTAAATTATGAATGTGTGTATAATTATACTTACAAATCTTAATACTATGTGTTGTGTTTTTGAACTATTTTTATAATTATACACACTATTACTTTGCACTAGAGTGGGTGTGAGTTATGATTTTTCGTTTTTTTTTTTTTTTTTAGAGAAAAAATTTATGAAAAAAAAAAAAAAAAAAAAAATTAAAAATTAAAAATTAAAAATTAAATTAAAAAAATAAATAAATAAATTAATTGGTGTGTTAAAAAAATACAAAATAAATTATTTATATACATATTAAATAATTTTTATTATAATATGTGTGTTAGTGTGCGTGTGTTCATTCACAAAAAAAAAAAAACATTTCCAATTTAACACACTTTGATAATGTGTAAAAAATTGTTGTTTTGTGTTTTAATATTATTTATTTTTTAAAATTGTGTTTTTTATTTTTTTCATATTATTATTATTATTTTATTTTTTGTTTTTTTGTGCATAATTGATCTAATATTTTTGCTATTATTTTTAAATAATTTTTGTTTAGATACATCAAAAGTAATATAATTGTTTATTGTTTTTTTGTTTATATATAAAATAAAAATAAATTATAATTATAATTATAAAATAAAATAAAATAAAATAAAATAAAACAAAATAAAATAAAATAAAACAAAATAAAATTAAATAAAACAAAATAAAAAAATAAAATAAAACAAAATAAAATAAAATAAAAAAAAAAAAAATAAAATAATAAACACATGGAACAAGAATTATTTAAACCAAACCAATCTTATCATCACTTAAATAATAATTTCAAAGACAAAGACTTTAATGTTGGTAGTGATAATAATAACAACATTAATAACAATGAAAACAATAAAGTGTCCTTTACTATAAGCAGAAATGAAAGCGACTTTTCATTTTTTTTCTCCTCTTTAGAGCTAGCCAACTCAAGTGTATCAATGGTCGAGTTAGAGCCACCAAGTAGATCTGATAGCATAGAGCATGTTCATAGCAATAATGAAGAGGAAGGGGAAGATTATGAAGAAGAATTTTATAATCAACAATTTCAAGAAACATTTTCAAGTATTTTTACCAATCAAAATGGTTCTAATTTCAAAGATAGTACAACTACCTTTCAAAACATTGAAGATTTATTAAAAGAAGATAATGATTCAATATTATTAACAAACTCCACAAAATCTGCAACTACACCATCAAGTTCAAGTGATACTGACATCTCTTTTGAAAAAGTAAAACTTAAGGTATACAACTCTATAATTAGTGATCAGCAAACTGGGTCCAATGCAAACATCACTGATAAAGAATTTGCCAATACTGTTGTCAATTCATTTGAAGAAACTCCAGAGTGCTGGGAGTATTTGGTTAATTGTGTAGATGATGCATCAAACAATTTAGTTATTCAAGAATGCCTTGTAGACCAAAATGAACAAGAGCAAGATCAAGAGCAGGAGAAAGAGAAAGAAAAAGAGAAAGATATACAACTTGGAAGTGAAAAAAAGAACCTTGGCAATATTAATAAAAATAAGACTAGCTTCGATCCATCAAATTTAAATTATAATAATATTGTAGATTTTTTGGATACTAAAGAAATTTCATTATCAACACCAATTTCACCATTAAATTTAAACACTTGTAATAATGAGAATAGTAATTGCAATAATAATAAATCACCAGTAATAACACTATCACCATTAAATTTAAATATTTCCCAACCATCACCCAAAAAAAAAATCTCCCCAATACCATCACCATCTCTCATTGAAAAAAAATTATCTACATCAATGAATGAAATATTAAAACCTAACAATAGTATTAATGGCATTAACAACAATACCAATAACAATGATGATAATTTTTGTAAAAGTAATAATAGAGTTGACATGGGTTTTGAATATCAAGACTTTAAGAAATCATTTAATTTTGATGTAATATCACCACTTCCATACAAGAATTTATCTGCGTCTTGCCCATCTGTCCCAGTTTCCCCACCTTCAATTAAATCTCAACAACAGAAACCAAATATAGTTTTAGGTGAACCTGTAGTCCCCAATCTTTCCTCAAAGGTTTCCTTAGTAGGTGATGGAATCGTTAATGTAGATGGAAACTATTTTTATAACGAACAATTATACCAACTTCAAGAATTAAAAAAAAAAACCCACCAATCAAATGTTCACAATGTTACACCATACCCAACTATAAACCCCCCTAAAATACCTTTAAACAACTATTCTTTATTTTCTTCTTTTGGTGTAAATCCAATAACAGATTTTTTTATTATGAACTCATCCCAACATCCACCATTACAAGAAATAAACCAAATAAAAGCTCAACAACAACAACAACAACAGCAACATCAATTACAACAACAACAGCAAAAACAATTACAACAATTACAACAATTGCAACAACAACAAATATTACAACATGTTAACTTCAATGTAAACGGTTGTAACAATAGCAACAATAACATTAAAAACAACTTAAATTATTTAAATAATAATTTTAATAACGCTAATAATATTAACAAAAATCAAAATAGTATTAATAACCAAAATATTAAAAATATTAACTTAAATTTAAACAAAAGCAATATAAACAATAGCACAATGAATAAGCAGAGCAATTATAATAGCACCAATAATATTTCATCATCCCCAAATAGACCATTAAACTACAACGGAAATATGTTTAATGTTTCAAACAATAATAATAACTTTAACAAAAACATTTCAAATTTATTACCAAAACAAAACAATACCAGCAATAACAATATAAATTATAATAGTATGAACCTTAATAATATTAACTACAACAGCCATCAACTCACCCAGAATGTTGGTAACATTGGAAATACTTTAAACCAAAACATTAATAATCCAATTAATAATATGTATAATTTTAACATTCCAAACAATTTCCAACCAAACAAATTAAATTCCAGTATGGTTAGAAAAGATATACCAATCAAAAATTCTACATATATCTATGTTCCACAAGCCATTGCTTTACAAAGATCACAGAATTACCATTCACAAGTCTACAATTAAGAGTAATCCTTTTTTTTTTTAAATTAGTTTTAAATTTTTAGTTTTTATGTAAATAGAAAAATAAATAAAAATAGTTTTTATGTAAATAGAAAATAAATTTTAAAGGAGTTTTTTTTTTTTTTTTTTATATCAACATTTATTATTTAAAATTATTATTATCTACGATTAAAAGCTTGATAATGTTTGATTATGACTATATATTGTTGTTATATTCCAATGTTGTTGAATTGTTTTTAATTCATTTTTCTAATCTATGCAGTCTATTTAC